AATATCCTCCAGGTTCATTCATGTTGTTGTAAGTACCAGAATTTCCTCCTTTTGTATGGCTAAATAATATTCCATTGGGTGTATATATATAAATGTGTGTACACATATGTATATAAAATCTCCCACATTTTCTTTATTCATTCATCAGTTAATGGACGCTTAGATTGTTTCCAGGTCTTGACTATGATGAATAATGCTGCAGTGAACACAGGAGTGCAGATATCTTTTTGACATACTGATTTCACTTCCTTTGGATACATGTCCAGAAGTAGTGCAAACACGTCGCTGGTGTCCACGGCCTAATAGCAGCAGTAACTCTAAGTAACACTCCGATGGTGCAGAAATCATCAGCATGGATCTCTAATTGTGCTCTTTGGTTTGTGCGGGGCTGATCTACCTGTCAGTGGTAGGGTTTTGTGGATAAACACTAGTTCCAACAAAACAGTCCTGAGAGTCAGCAAAGCCCAGTAATCTGCACACCTGCAGTGGGGCTGTGCAGAGGAGCAGATTGGCCTGCTGACTGTTTGCAGATGTGATCGCTGGCATGGAACCATGGCCTCTGTCTCAAAAGAGTAATAAGCCTCACTGTGATCTATACTGAATGGATGTGACTTTACGTTATTCCGCTTATACAATGCAGGCCAATTTCAGCAACACAAAACCCACTGTAAAAAAGAAAGAAAGAAACGCCAGCATACCACTCTCCTGCAGGCTCCCTGTTCAATGAAACCCTGGTTTACACTGATTCTGAAGAGAGACCGCAAGGGGTAGAGAACGTTAAAATGCACGCCGTCTTAGTGTAGGTGAGCCCGTTGGGAGTCTCAGCATGCTACAGCTGAGTTATTTATTTGATGGACAGCACAGCGCAGGAAACCGGGGTGTGAAAGAGCACGTGAGGACTTTCCCCGTTCGATTATTTCAAAAGGGCTGAATATGTCACCTAGCTTTTGTCTTCCTGGGGTTGCTTTAGCCGTTTTCTCTTTTGCTGTCCCCACCACACACACGCGCACACACACGCTCACGCACACATATTCTGAGAGGCAGCAACAGAGAACTAAGATGAAAAGCACTGAATTTGGAGGCAAGCGAATACCAGTTTGGGCCCTTTTTGCTCTTTGGCCTGTGCTCATAACCTCTGTATACTAATTTCCTTAAGTACAAAAAAAGCACTTTAAAGCACCTTATCGACTTCATTTATGTAGTCAATGTTTCTTAACTGAGCAATGTGTCCCAGGCATTGGAAATATCTAGAGAAGTAAGCAGACTGAAAGTCATGGGGTGTGTGTCGCCAATGTCCAAATATTTGGACCACACTCCCAGGCAACTGGGGACTAATGACCACTCATCAGGGCTGTCTTCCTGACCCTCTTCCGATAATAAGACGTGGTGGGCATTAAAAGCACCTTTCTCACAGGTTCTTAAGAGACAATATAGGTGAAAGTAACCTTCAAGTTCTAAAACATAAACACAAGACACAGAAAACTGCACACAAAATACCAGAATCTCTGTGCCTGTAATAAGGTTTACTAAAGAAAAAGGAATTGAGCTTTGAGTTTTCATCCAGAAATTATCTACCAGCTGACCTTTCAACACCTCTAAGTCCTTAATTTTGTTATTTCAGTAAATAACATCATTTTTCCTTTATCAGGAACTCTTGGTTTGAATTCAGATGAAATTTGTTGTTTCTACTCCTCTTTTTTCTTTCTTTAAATTGAAGTATAGTTGATTTACAATGCTGTGTTAGTTTCAGGTGTACAGCACAGTGATTCAGTTATACATACATATATAAGTATGTGTATACACACACACACGTTGTTTTTCTATTTTACTGTATTTTTCAATTCACATGTGTGTTGGAATAAAACCCCAGTCTTCCTGAACAGGGAAAACCCAGTTTTCCACCACCTGTAGTTTTCCTCTGCTGTGTGTCTCCTGTCACAAAATGCTTACACAGAACACTTCTGGTCACCAAATGTATGGGGCTTTCTCCCACATGAACGAATACTCCAGAACACCAGCCAGGTGCCCTACAATTTACCTCAATTGTAACACCATCTACCTGGAGACAGGGTCAGACCCCACAGGTTACGGGCTCAGTCCCACAAGACTGCTCCCACCCCACTTCAGATGCCAGTGGGAATAGCAGGTCCCCAGGTGACCCCCAACTCTGTCCCACTGGGCTACAAATGGGAGGGTCCCATACCTTCTCCTTGGATTCAGTTATTTGCTGCAGTAGCTCACGGAACTCAGGGAAACACGTTCACCAGGTTATGAAAGGATATAATAAAGGGTACAGATGAAGACCCACATAAGGTGGGTCCTGAGTGCGAGAGCCTCTGTCCCCGGGTAGTTGGGGGGCACGACCCTCCCTGTGTAGATGTGTTCATTCATCTGGAAACTCTCCAAAGTCCGTGCTTTGGGGATTTTTGGAGGCTTCCTCTCGTCGGCATGATCGGTTCTTAACTCCACTGCCAGCCTCTCCCACGTCTGCGGCTGAAAACGTCTAAGGTTCCAATCGTGGCTTGGCCTTTCTGGACCACCACCATTCATGAGCCCCCAGAGTCACTGCATTAGGACAGAAGATGCTCCTAAAGCTCTTATCCCTAAGGAATTTATGAGAGTTTCAGGAGGTCTGTGCCTGGAACCAGGGGCAGAGATCAATATATTGATATATTTTCTAGAATCTCACACATGGGCTCCAGAAAGTTAATATTTTTGAGGAAATTAAGCTCAATGAAGGTAATGCTGTTTTATATTTCCCTTTTTATATTTTAAGTAAAAAGTAGGGACCACTGTATGAATATTTTCCCTGATTATAAATTAATTCATAACAGGGAAGGAGTTGTCAGCAGTAACTCTATTTTTTACTTTAGGACTCCGTCTTCTGAACTGGGAACTGTGCTGACCCTGATGACAAAAAAAGAAAAAAAGAAAAAAGAAAGCAAGCCGTTTTCACAGAAAGGAATCCCTGATAACCTTGCAGAAATGTGCCTTTACTGAGAACATGCAGGACATCCTTGACCAGCCAATACATTGTAACCAAAAACACCACCCTCCAATCACAGCTCTTGGCAAACAACTTATGTAAACTATATGTACTTCTCCATTTTCGTTTAAAAATCGCTGCCTTTTGTTCCCCAGACAGGACACTGTTGTGGTTGCTGAAAATTATAAAAAAGAAAATGAAAATCTCGATTTTTAAGATTTTTGTGTTTTAAAAATTCATCAGTCTGATTACTCAATTACTATATAATTTGCCATTAATCACTGTAATTATAATGAAATGATTTCAAAAACCAATTTATAATTTCTAAAAACAATTCCCCAATATTTACATATCATAATTTCTTTAACGCTTCCTTCAAGGCATTTTATTTTTGCCCATTTATTTTTGCAATGAACTTGTACCTAAAGAATATATAAATAAATTTAGAGATGATCATATTAAGTGAAGCAAGTCAGAGAAAGACACATATCATATGATATCACTTATATGTGGAATCTAAAAAAAAAAAAAGATACAAATGAACTTATTTACAAAAAAGAAATAGACTTACAGACAGAGAAAACAAACTTAGGATTACCAAAGGGGGATAGCAGGGGTGGAGGGGGAGAGATAAATTAAGAGTTTGGGATTAACAGATACACACTACCATACACAAAATAGATAAACAACAAAGACCTACTGTAGAGCACAGGGAACTATACTCAATATCTTCTAGTAACCTATAATGGAAAAGAATCTGAAAAAGAATAGATATACTTATATACATATAATATATATAAAACGGAATCTGTAGATTGCCTTGGATAGTTTGGACATTTTAACCATATTCATTCTCCAATCCATGAGCATGGTATATCTTTCTATCTGTTTGTGTCACCTTCAGTTTCTTTCATAAAAGTCTTATAGGTTTCCAAATCAGGTCTTTTGCCTTCTTAGGTAGGTTTATTCCTGGGTATGTTTTCTTTTTGATGTGATAATAAATGGGATTGTTTCCTTAACTTCTCTTGCTGAGCTTTTGTTGTTAGTGTATAGAAATGAAACACATTTCTGTATATTAATTCTGTGTCCTAAAACTTTACTGAATTCATTGATGAGCTCTAGTAGTTTTCCAGTAGCATCTGTAGGATTTTTCTATGTATAGTATCATGTCCCGAAGCTTGTGTTGCCCTGCTAGTGGGCAGGGCAAGAGGCCAGCTGGTCCCAGGGTAGGGTCTGGCCTGCTGTAGGTGGGCTGGGTCCGCAGGCTGCGGGACTGTGGTTTTCTTGTCTGGTTTCTGCCCACTGGTGGGTGAGGCTGTTACAGAGGATAGTGCAGGCTTCCTGGAGGGCAGGGCCTGTGCCTGCCCACTGGTGGGTGGAGCTGGGTCTTGGCCCTCTGGGGGGCAGGGCTGTGTGTAGAAGCATGTCTAGAGGTGGCCATGGACTGAGGAAGACATTAGGCAGCCTGTCGGCTGAGGGTGGGGCTGTGTCCCCACCCAGTTAGTTGTTGGACCTAAGGCATCCCAGCACCAGTGCCTACAGGCTGTTGGTGGTGCCAGGTCCTCGTACTAATGAGCTAGAGGAAGGAAACCATGATGGGGCCTGCCCACACCAGTGTCCATGTGGTAGAAAACTCACAAATATGGCTGTTGCCAGTGTCTGTGTACCCAGGTTGAGCTGTGGCCACCCCCCCACTTTCTAGGAGATTCTTCATGACCAGCAGATGGGTCTGGCCCACACTCCTATCAAATTAGTGCTTCTGCCCTGGGTCCTGATGGGCATGAGATTTTGTGTGCACCCTTTAAAACTGAAGTCTCTACTACTCACAACGCTCTGGCTCTCCTGAAATTAAGCCACACTGCCTTCAAAGCCACATGCTCTGGGGGCTCGTCTTCCCGATGCAGGACCCCTGGGCTGGGGAGCCCAAACGGGGCTCAGAACTTTCGCTCCTGGGGGAGAACCTCGGCAATATAACTATCCTCTCGTTTGTGGGCTGCCCACTCAGGGATATGGGACTTGATTACATCTTGCATCCACTCCTCCTACCTGTCTCGCTGTGGTCCCTTCTTTGTGCCTTCAGTTGCAGAAGGTCTTTTCTGGTAGGTTCCGCTCTCTTTCACTGATGGTTGTTCCGCTGATAGTGATTTCGGTGTGCCCATGAGAAGACATGAGCTCAGGGCCTTACTACGCCACTTGGCCAATCCTTAAAATAGAAATTGAAGGTAAAACTTCTTTATCAAAAACAAAACATAGAGGTTTGGGGAGAAGATGGCGGAAGAGTAAGACGTGGAGATCACCTTCCTCCCCACAAATACATCAGAAATACATCTACATGTGGAACTGCTCCTACAGAACACCCACTGATCACTGGCAGAAGTCCTTAGACCTTCCAAAAGGCAAGAACCCCCCCCCCCACATACCTGGGTAGGGCAAAAGAAAAAAGAGACAAAAGAATAGGGACGGGACCTGCACCAGTGGGAGGGAGCTGTGAAGGAGGAAAGGTTTCCACACACTAGGAGCCCCTTCGCGGGCGGAGACTGCTGGTGGCGGAGGGGGGAGCTTCAGAGCCACGGAGGAGAGCGCAGCAACGGGGGTGTGGGGGGCAAAGCGGAGAGATTCCCGCACAGAGGGTCGGTGCCGACCGGCACTCACCAGCCCGAGACACTTGTCTGCTCACCCGCCGGGATAGGCTGGGGCTGAGAGCTGAGTCTCGGGCTCCAGTCGGATCCCAGGTAAAGGACTGTGGTTGGCGGCGTGAACACAGCCTGCAGGGGGTTAGTGCGCCACGGCTAGCCTGGAGGGAGTCCGGGGAAAAGTCTGGACCTGCCGAAGAGGCAACAGACTTTTTCTTCCCTCTTTGTTTCCTGGTGCGCGAGGAGAGGGGATTAAGAGCACCGTTTACAGGAGCTCCAGAGATGGACGCGGCCCGTGGCTATCAGCGTGGACCCCAGAGACGGGCATGAGACGCTAAGGCTGCTGCTGCCGCCACCAAAAAGCCTGTGTGCGAGCACAGGTCACTGTCCACACCTCCCTTCCGGGGAACCTGTGCAGCCCGCCACTGCCAGGGTCCCGGGATCCAGGGACAACTTCCACGGAAGAACGCATGGCGCGCCTCAGGCTGGTGCAACATCACGCTGGCCTCTGCCGCCACAGGCCCGCCCTGCACGCCGTGCCCCTCCCTCCCCCCGGCCTGAGTGAGCCGGAGCCCCCGAATCAGCGGCTCCTTTAACCCCGCCCTGTCTGAGCCAAGAACACGCAGAGGCAGGGCCAAATCCAAAGCTGAGCCCCTGGGAGCTGTGAGAACAAAGAAGAGAAAGGGAAACTTCTCCCAGCAGCCTCAGGAGCAGCGGATTAAATAGCCACATTCAACTTGATGTATCTGCATCTGTGGAATACCTGAATAGACAACTAATCACCCAAAATTGAGGAGGTGGACTTTAGGAGCAAGATAGATTATTTTTCCCCTTTTTCCTCTTTTTGTGAGGGTGTATGTTTATGCTTCTGTGTGTGATTTTGTCTGTATAGCTTTGCTTTCACCATTTGTCCTAGGGTTCTATCCGTCCGTTTTTTTTTGTTTGTTTGCTTTTTTTTTTTACTTAAAAATTTTTTAATAATTATTATTTTATTTTAATAACTTTATTTTATCTTACTTTACTTTATTTTATCCTCTTTCTTTCTTTCAATTTTTTCTCCCTTTTATTCTGAGCCGTGTGGATGAAAGGCTCTTGGTGCTGCAGCCAGGCCTCAGAGCTGTGCCTCTGAGGTGGGAGAGCCAACTTCAGAACACTGGTCCACAAGAGACCTCCCAGCTCCACATAATATCAAACGGTGAAAATCTCCCAGAGATCTCCATCTCAACACCAACACCCAGCTTCACTCAACGACCAGCAAACTACAGTGCTGGACACTCTATGACAAACAACTAGCAAGACAGGAACACAGCCCCATCCATTAAAAGAGAGGCTGCCTAAAATCATAATAAGGCCACAGACACCCCAAAACACACCACCAGATGAGGACCTGCCCACCAGAAAGACAAGATCCAGCCTCATCCAGCAGAACACAGGCACTGGTCCCCTCCACCAGGAAGCCTACACAACCCACTGAACCAACTTTAGCCACTGGGGACAGACACCAAAAACAACAGGAACTACGAACCTGCAGCCTGCAAAAAGGAGACCCCAAACACAGTAAGATAAGCAACATGAGAAGACAGAGAAACACACAGCAGATGAAGGAGCAAGGTAAACATCCACCAGACCTAACAAATGAAGAGGAAATAGGCAGTCCATCTGAAAAAGAATTCAGAATAACGATAGTAAAGATGATCCAAAATCTTGGAAATAGAATAGAGAAAATGCAAGAAACATTTAACAAGGACCTAAAAGAACTAAAGAGGAAAAAGCAATGATGAACAACACAATAAATGAAATTAAAAATACTCTAGATGGGATCAATAGCAGAATAACTGAGGAAGAAGAATAGATAAGTGACCTGGAAGATAAAATAGTGGAAATGACTACTGCAGAGCAGAATAAAGAAAAAAGAATGAAAAGAACTGAAGACACACTCAGAGACCTCTGGAACAACATTAAACGCAGCAACATTCGAATTATAGGGGTTCTAGAAGAAGAAGAGAAAATAAAGGGACTGAGAAAATATTTGAAGAGATTATAGTTGAAAACTGCCCTAATATGGGAAAGGAAATAGCTAATCAAGTCCAGGAAGCACAGAAAGCCCCATACAGGATAAATCCAAGGAGAAATACGCCAAGACACATATTAATCAAACTGTCAAAAATTAAATACAAAGAAAACATATTAAAAGCAGCAAGGGAAAAATAACACACAAGGGAATCCCCATAAGGATAACAGCTGATCTTTCAGCAGAAACTCTGCAAGCCAGAAGGGACTGGCAGGACATATTTAAAGTGATGAAGGAGAAAAACCTGCAACAAAGATTACTCTACCCAGCAAGGATCTCATTCAGATTTAATGGAGAAATTAAAACCTTTACAGACAAGCAAAAGCTGAGAGTTCAGCACCACCAAACCAGCTTTACAACAAATGCTAAAGGAACTTCTCTAGGCAAGAAACACAAGAGAAGGAAAAGACCTACCATAACGAACCCAAAACAATTAAGAAAATGGGAAGAGGAACATACATCTCGATAATTACCTTAAATGTAAATAGACTAAATGCTCCCACCAAAAGACACAGATTGGCTGAATGGATACAAAAACAAGATCCATATATGTGCTCTCTACAAGAGACCCACTTCAGACCTAGAGACACATACAGACTGAAAGTAAGGGGATGGAAAAAGATATTCCATGCAAATGGAAACCAAAAGAAAGCTGGAGTAGCAATTCTCATATCAGACAAAATAGACTTTAAAACAAAGACTATTAGAAGAGACAAAGAAGGACACTACATAATGATCAAGGGATTGATCCAAGAAGAAGATATAACAATTGTAAATATTTATGCACCCAACATAGGAGCACCTCAATACATAAGGCAAATACTAACAGCCATAAAAGGGGAAATCGACAGTAACACATTCAGAGTAGGGGACTTTAACACCCCACTTTCACCAATGGACAGATCATCCAAAATGAAAATAAATAAGGAAACACAAGCTTTAAATGATACATTAAACAAGATGGACTTAATTGATATTTATAAGACAGTCCATCCAGAAACAACAGAATACACATTTTCCTCAAGTGCTCATGGAACATTGTCCAGGATAGATCATATCTTGGGTCACAAATCAAGCCTTGACAAATTTAAGAAAATTGAAATTGTATCAAGTACCTTTTCCGACCACAACGCTATGAGACTAGATATCAATTACAGGAAAAGATCTGTAAAAAATACAAACACATGGAGGCTAAACAATACACTACTTAATAACGAAGTGATCACTGAAGAAATGAAAGAGGAAATTAAAAAATACCTAGAAACAAATGACAATGGAGACACAATGACCCAAAACCTATGGGATGCAGCAAAAGCAGTTCTAAGAGGGAAGTTTATAGCAATACAATCCTACCTTAAGAAACAGGAAACATCTCGAATAAACAACCTAACCTTGCACCTAAAGCAATTAGAGAAAGAAGAACTAAAAAACCCCAAAGGTCGCAGAAGGAAAGAAATCAGAAAGGTCAGATCAGAAATAAATGAAAAAGAAATGAAGGAAACAATAGCAAAGATCAATAAAACTAAAAGCTGGTTCTTTGAGAAGGTAAACAAAATTGATAATCCATTAGCCAGACTCATCAAAAAAAAAAGGGAGAAGACTCAAATCAATAGAATTAGAAATGAAAAAGGAGAAGTAACAACTGACATGGCAGAAATACAAAAGATCATGAGAGATTACTACAAGCAAATCTATGCCAATAAAATGGACAACGTGGAAGAAATGGACAAATTCTTAGAAATGCACAACCTGCAAAGACTGAATCAGGAAGAAATAGAAAATATGAACAGACCAATCACAAGCACTGAAATTGAAACTGTGATTAAAAATCTTCCAACTAACAAAAGCCCAGGACCAGATGGCTTCACAGGCGAATTCTATCAAACATTTAGAGAAGAGCTAACACCTATCCTCCTAAAACTCTTCCAAAATATAGCAGAGGGAGGAAAACTCCCAAACTCATTCTAGGAGGCCACCATCACCTTGATACCAAAACCAGACAAGGATGCCACAAAGAAAGAAAACTACAGGCCAATATCACTGATGAACATTGATGCAAAAATTCTCAACAAAATACTAGCAAACAGAATCCAACAGCACATTAAAAGGATCATACACCATGATCAAGTGGGGTTTATTCCAGGAATGCAAGGATTCTTCAATATATGCAAATCAATCAACGTGATACACCGTATTAACAAAGTGAAGGAGAAAAACCACATGATCATCTCAATAGATGCAGAGAAAGCTTTCGACAAAATTCAACACCCATTTATGATAAAAACCCTGCAGAAAGTAGGCATAGAGGGAACTTTCCTCAACAGAATAAAGGCCATATATGCCAAACCCACAGCCAACATCATCCTCAATAATGAAAAACTGAAAGCATTTCCACTAAGATCAGGAACAATTCAAGGCTGCCCGCTCTCACCACTCTTATTCAACATAGTTTTGGAAGTTTTAGCCACAGCAATCAGAGAAGAAAAGGAAATAAAAGGA